AGGCTGGAGTGCAGTGGTGCGATCTCTGTTCATTGCAACCTCTGCCACCCAGGATCCAGTGATTCTCCTTCCACAGCCTCCCAAGTAGCTGGGATTACAGGCGTGCACCACCATGCCCAACTACTTTCTGTATTTTTAGTAGAGACAGGGTTTCACCATGCTGGCCAGGATGGTCTTGAACTCTTAACCTCATGATCCGCCTGCCTTGGCCTCCCAAAGTGCTGGGATTACAGGCATGAGCCATCATGCCTGGCCTCTGCTACCACTTTTGGATTGTATGAAACACTACACTTCAAAGTGTGGGATCTGGCTGCCCAGACAGCTGTCAGAGGGGTAGCTGATGCAGTCTAGAAGTGTGGGGGCAGTCATGCCTGTGGGGTAAATTTTGACCAATAAGAAAAGGAACCAAGAGTGAGAGCCAGATACGTAAATTGCCTCTCCTCTCCTCTCCCCACTGCACCATTCCAGGCATTGTTTCTCAATATAGTTTGTCTAGAGGTGTCCTGTGTGGCCCAAATTCTGTTGCCTTGGGAACCTGAGCTAAAACAATGGACATTCAAACACCTGAAGACAGTGTTACGTGTTGTTGAGGACCCAGATCTGGGCAGAGGAAAATTATCCCAATAAGAAAATGGACAATCTGAGGATGCGGAATAGAGGGAAGGATTAGAAGAACCAGTAGTAGTATAGCATATGGGTAATATTTTTGGAGAAAAAGGAAGTTCTGGTGATTTTTGCAGTGAACTGCTCAGCTCTGTGTGTATATATATATAATATATATATCCTTTCTTTCCATCACTCTCCCCTATGAAATCGTCCATAAAGTATCCTTTTATAACTATCTATTGCCTGTGAAGTGAATTTTCTTTTTATCTTTTTCTTTTTTATGTAGAGATAGAGTCTCTGTCGCCTGGGCTGGAGTTCAGTGGCGCAATCTCAGCTCACTGCAATCTCTGCCTCCTGAGTTCAAGTGATCCTCCTACCTCAGCTGTCCTAGTAGCTGGCACTACAGGTGCACACCACAAATGCTTGGCTAATTTTTTTATTGTATTGTATTTTTAGTGGAGAAGGGAGTTCACGATCTTGGCCAGGCTGGTCTCCAACTCCTGACCTCAGGTGATCCACCTACCTCAGTCTCCCAAAGTGCTGGGATTACAGGCGTGAGCCACTGCACCCAGCCTGTCACTTCTTTTTGGAGAATAAAACAGATTGAGTCTTGTGCCAAAATGCAGGGGATAAAACAAAATATTATACACAATAATAGATTGGTTTTCTACATACCAATATTAACCATTTAGAAAACCAAATTGAGAAAAATTACACTTATATCGTGACAAATAACATAAAATATCTAAACCTAAATGATTGGAGCAAGATGGTGGATAGATCCCATGCCCCACTCAACATTCCATTGAACTGGTAAGAAAATGTTATCAATGGTCAATTTTTAACAGTAGAGGAAAATAGGAAAACAGGTCAGTGGTCCACCAGAAATATTGAAGCATTCCTGGGAGACAGAGTAGATGGGATCAGACTGATAGAGAAACCCAAGAAGACAAGACCACAGCTCAAATCACCGTAGGAAAGAGATGCTGTTTGTTTTTTGAGACACAGACTTACTCTGTCGCCCAGGCTGGAGTTCAGTGGCCTGATCTTGGCTGACTGCACCCTCTGTCTCCCAGGTTCAAGTGATTTTCCTGCTTCACTCCCCATTGTAACTGGAATTCACAGAGGCCTACCACCACGGCAAGCTAATTTTTGTATTTTTAGTAGAGACAGGGGTTTCACCCAATTGGCCAGGCTAGTCTCCAACTCCTGACCTCAAGTGATCTGCCTGCCTCGGCCTCCCAAAGAACTGACATTACATCATGGGACACCGCGCTAGCCCAGGAGATGCTCCTTGTAACAAACCCTCTGAAAAACTCCAAACCCTGAAACAAAAAAACACGGAGCTGGAAAGGGCCTTAGGATAATCATCAGGTAGGTTAATTTAAAAGTTCATTTGAAACATCTGAATCAGCCAGATTCCTCTCCAACACCACAGACAGATTGACTGGCAGTGGCCATTTTTGCCTCTAAGATGAAACTCTGATAATTGTTCATTAAAGAAAGTGAAGGCCGGGCGAGGTGGCTCACACTTGTCATCCCAGCACTTTGGGATGCTGAGGCAGGAGGATTGATCCAGATCAGCCTGGGCAAAATAGTGGATGTCATCTCTACAAAAAAATACAAAAACTAGCTGGGAGTGGTGGCATGTGCCTGTAGTCCCAGCTAGATTGGAAGCTGGAATGAGAGAATCCCTTGAGCCTGGGAGATTGAGGCTGCAGTGAGCTGGACTTGCATCACTGCACTCCAGCCTGGGAGACAGAGTGAGATCCTGTCTCAAAAAACCACAAAAGTAGTGTATCATGA